TATTTGCTAACATTTTGTGGTGACTACAGAAAAGCTGAAACATTTTAACAATGGAACAAAGCATGATGACATCAGCACATATTCCTCTTCATTATAACATTTTTTTTTTTTTTGCTTAGCAAAACACAGCAGATGATTTTTTTTTTTGCATGGCATAATGAGAGAATAACAGCAAATCTGTAGGGGAACAAAGACGTTTTAAAAAGTCATTACAAAATAAGCAGGTAGGCTTACAAAAATATCTAGCGTTAAAAAAAAGAGAGTAACGGGGATGTTGTTACCCGTGTATTTTACTGCTCACAATAAATACGTTGGACGAGGACTATAACTGAGAGAGAGTAAGAAAGACAGAAAGACAGAGAAGAGAACTGGAGAGAGAGAGACTTGTGGCAATGAGCCATGACCTTCATTTTGTCAATTCACTTATTCTGAAAATAAAGCAAAGAGTGAATTTCAAACTTAAAACTGAAAAATATTTGCATGTTAGATTTCGTTTGTTTATGCATCAAACCCACTTAAATCTTCCATGCTTTTCTTAACCACCGGAAGAAGACCCCGTCTTAGAAGAGAATCAAAATGTACCACGTTTTGCTCTCCCAGTGATTGTCTTTGGCGCCCCCTTTAGTTACAGTACTGGTGGCCAAGCTGCCCACCCCACAGGAGCTCCCTTACTGGTTCCATTCGCTTAGCAGGGATATGATTCAAGGACTCGAAATAACCAGATAACATGCTATATCCCTCATACACACTGACACTGGGAATCTGTGTATATATACACACAGAAATACTGGGAATTTGCTTTAAATTTTAGGACGAGGATTCAGTGAAACAAAACCAAACAAATCTTCCTTTGTTAACAGTATTTGGTCATCTGGATCTAAATATATATATATTTAATGATGTTATGTAAGCAAGACAAAGTTGAAGGTATGTAAACATAATCTGTATGACGAATTAAGTGCATTAAGATGTAAACCCAGATTCATGCCGCTTTTTAAAAGGCAAATGAGAAAACCTGCCGCAGAACAGAAAGGCAGGCGGTTGCTATGTCTTGTGGCAGGAGATGTAAAAATGAACCATCACAGAACATACAGCATAGGGCTGAAAAACAATAGTCTTGCTACTGGTAACAGCAAACGCCATAATCATTAGAAATTCAGTTTTGTTCTTATTACGATGAGGACCAGCCGAGAACAACAGAGATAGATGGACAAGCTGAGCTTCATGGCAGCATCTCTTACAAAATCCTGACATACAAACAGGCAAACATCAAACACACACACACCAGCATACAAATAACTGAATTAACATACGCGCACACACACACACACAGGTTACTTGGTGAGTTTCTTTGCAGGTTAGTAGACTTTGCTTATTGTCCTTACATGAGAACGTACCAAAATAACAGATACTAGGTGGAGCTGGGCAGCAGGACCACAAGAAGAAAGCCGCAGACAGCGATGTGGCCCCGCCCCCTTGGCAGACCAGCTGCCCCCCCCAGGCCCCGCCTCTCTCCATGTAAGACAGAGCAAAGTGAGCAGGTGCTTGCAGCTCAAGATTGTACATAGAACAAGATGCTCCAAATGGATACGATTGCTCCTCTATGCTCCAGATCTACGCACTTAACATCCTGTACCTGTGTGAACCGCCAATCAAAACACAACAATGCCATCTGACAAAAGCCAGTGCTTTTAACAGAATCTTTTTTTGCTGTTTTTTTTGTATTTGGTTTCTTCTATAAATCTTTGGATGTGCAGTATTACTTGTTAGATAACAGTTTCAAAAAGTAAGAAAAAATGCACAAACCGCATCCTGCCGCATGTTGAACAAAGTAACTCCCTCGAAACTCTGCTTTCAGTGGCAGGTGAATTCTTTGGGTTCCTGGCAGTGTTGGGAGAGCACGGTCGAAAAGCCTGCTTAAATGTTTGTGAAGGTAAACCCTGCGATACGAAATCCTATGCCTTCAACATATCTAAGCAAAAAGGAGGGACTGACAGAGAGAGAGTCAGAGGAAGGGGGAGAGAGAGAGAGAGAGATGGAGAGAAACTGGATAATAAAACTTTGGCTGGTTTTCTTCCCCCCAGAATCCTAATATATACAAATCTATTTTACCTACAAATGCATAAATTAAAGTAGTGATTAAGCCATACAAAATGCAGTTAAATTAAATATAAATCACAACACAGTTAAAAAGGGAAACATATACACACATTGTTACAGCATTTGGTGATACCCTGTAAAAAGAAGTCAGTCTACCATCATTACAACATCAGAATAACACAACATCTTAATAAAAAATAAAATATTTCCCCTTTCTTCCAGCAGACCTCTTCTGCAACCCCATCCCCCCCCCACCCCGACACATCTTTCACAATCAAAACAGGGTTATGCCAAAACCTCAAAATAAATAATCATAAAGCTTTTTCTTTTCGCAGTAACGTGAACAATTAACAAACTAGTGACGATCTGCCTTAATCACATAGACTCTCTATACAATGTAACCCGTAGGACTTGTTACTACGAGGTATTCAGAGACACTGGTAGCAGACGTGCATGGCCGGCGTGGTGGATGCGGCTAAACAGGAGAGTGGGACAGGAATGGCAGGGTGACGGGGAGGGGTGCATGGAGGGAAAGGCAAGATAATGAGCTTTGGTTTGTCAGCAACAGACGTGGGGAAGAAAGGAACTCCTTTGGTATGATTTTCATTGCATGGTTGCACTGGCAAAAGCACCAGAGTGAGACGACGACTTGTTCTCTTGTTTTTCTTCGACTGCGTCCTTTTTCCAGGTTGAGGTATTCAAAGAGTCAAAGGTGAGCTTGTAGAGGTCAACAGCGGTTTAACACTTTGGTTCAAGCAAGGCACTCGTACTGTGAGTTTCTACAAAGTTTGCAACATTTGTCTGCCTATAGCTTTGTCAAAAGATTATTGATGAGAAGAACTTGAGAAAGGTGGGAGGGATGAGGGGCAATGACCAAGGAGATGAAAGAAAAGCTATCCACCACTTCATTTTTGCAGGCCATGCAACGAAAAACTCTTTGGTAATCTTTGGTATCATCATTATTGTGATTCATATCACTAATGCAGTGTTTCCCAGTCCAGTCCGTGGGGACCTCCAGATGGTCCACGTTTCTGACAGGGAGTTAAAATGTGGACTGTCAGGCAGGGAGCTGGGAGGGAGCAAAAACGTGGACTGTCAGGCAGGGAGCTGGGAGGGAGCAAAAACGTGGAGCATCTTCGAGTCCTTGAGGATCAGATTGGGAAACACTGCACTAATGGAAATAGAGTGAGGTAGCATCTTTGGTTCACACTATAAATATCAGAAGATCTTCACACACTTTGATTTTCCTTTTTTTGTTTGTTTTTACATGTAGAAGCAAATTTGCTTCCTTGCTGCTGTCACACAAGTAGAGTTACTGAAATATGAATTTGAAATGTTAACCAGATCAAGGCCAGAAGTGTAGTCATAACAATCACCACCAAGTACCTGGTAACTTCACACAGATTCCTGTAGTACTTTCTTCCCAGTTGTGAAATGCATAGATTCTGTCAGTGTCAGTGAAGAATATGGAGACATGAAAGGAGATCCTACAGTGACTGGGGCTACGCTTCATGGAAAGGTAGCACCTCTTCTTTAATGCAATTTGTCTTCATGTCGATGAAATTGAACATCGTAACAATTTTCTTGAAAGACTGGAGGACACGATGTGAAACAACAAAACCTAACCTGACATTTTGTACAGACAGCTGCTGTAAATGCACACAAGGCAAGAACAGGTCATGGAAACTGATTTGTTTGTTATGGTGCTTTAAAATAAGCAGAAGTGACTATGTCAGAAAGTGTCTTGAGAGTTATGACGGTATCTTCCTGTACCAGAACATCACCTTAACTTTCCTCTAGATCAGAACAGCCGTTCTTGCCTGGGGTTCCATTTGAAGCTACTTCAGGTGGACCTTCAGAACCTACCAGACAGACTTCAGACTAATTGGGTTCATGAGCAAGACTGGGATCTAGACAAAACCTACGGACGGCTAAGAAGCCGCAAATGTCAGTGAGAAAGTGATTTTCATTCTCATGTAGCGTCTGATGAATATTGTTGATTAGACAAAGCTTGTTTCAGTTACACTATGGATATCAAACAGAATTTTAATGTGCAGGAATTGAACTTGCTGGTTTCTACTTATTTAAAGGTTAATTGGTCATTGTTTCAAAACCGTATGAAAATGTATTGTTTGATTTTGTTTAAGATAAATATTTATATGACCATCAAAACAGATAAAAATATAATTATGTGTTTCTGGTAAGTAAAGCAAAACAACATTGTATTTGGCTATACTCAATAATAATACAAATTGAGCTTTGGCAGTACAAAAAAGTCTTTCAGGAGTGCAATGTGTTCTAAGAAAAGAACACCGCGTTAGCGATTCTTTGGTTGCTAGCATGTGAAAGTCTACAACTGACTTATGCTGGGTTTAATGTACATCCCTGACAATACCATATATGCAGAATCATGAGAATAACTCTGAAAACAGATCCATAAGAAAAACAATGTAATGCCACAGTCATCGATGGCGAGCATCCCTTTGCGGTGCCTGTTATTGAGTCATTTGGTTTTGATTAATAAAGGGGTTTGCTTGAGGAATAAAGCACACGGCATTTGGGAATAAGATCTGATGGTCGGGTTACTGCTGTGTACGGTCATTCACATTCGCCTAGGCGGTAATCAGTCAGCAAGGGGGCAGGCAGCGATCTCCTCGTCCTGAACCGTGTATTTCCTGACTGAAATGCTCTTACTGACATTATGACATTAAGCTCACAAAATCCTTAACTGTTAATTAGCGAGTCTTCAGAGGGAGCGCTCGGATTTCCTCAGAACAGTCAAGTGAATTTTAGTAATCTAATATCATTAAAAAACAGGTAAAGTTCTTTTCATTGAATTTGTATCTAGTCTGTTCTTTGGTACGTTATATAATCTTGTCATTTGCAATTATGGATTTTTCAAAAGCAGGTTTTTTTTTTTTTTTTTCCTGCATGTCTTCTACAAGTGGGAAGAAAGCACTACTAAGTTTAGTGACATTCAAAACAAGCTTTGCCGAGATATAAGTCTTTCAGTTTGGGTAAGTGGGCTTCCGGGTGTTTGTGAGTTTGCAGCGTGACAGAGGCGAGCGAGTGACCCCCGGACAGAACTGGGCTCCTGTCTCGGGCCCCTGCTCTAGCATTAAGCCGCTTCCATGGGACAAGCCAGCTCTGCCCTGTGCACAGTGGCTCTCTGTGCCTGATGTCGTACACCCTTCTCGGCGCGGCAACGCAAAATCGACGCCTAACGATTTGCGGCCATGTCAGTTTGACAACGAAAAATGAGTCTGCTGTCAGCCTCCAATAAAACAAGCATGACATTCAGCGATGACAATGACGGCGTGCTGAGTGGCGACGACGCTGAAAGGCGTACGACGGGCCTAGAATCTGGTGAATATCTTTCTTTCCATTTTGTTTTTTTTTCCTTTTTTTTACGAAATTGTTTAACTGAAACAAGTCGTGAAATAAAGCATTGATGCAGATGAACAAAGTCTTTGGTTTTTCTTTGGATAATTCAAATGTTTCTGTCGTCTTTTTGGCCTTTCCAGGTGTAACTTTTGCCTGAGGGGCCTGGTCTTTGACTTAAAAATTATTATTTTAAAGCTTTTCCACCGAGGTTTCAGTCTGCGACCTCCATGCCTTCATGCTTTGGTACAAGTGCTGGATGAAGAAGTTGAGTTGGCTAAGTGGGAGCCTCTGTCGTCCATCCACTTATCCAGGCTCCGCCGCCGGGCGTTCATGAAGAAGTTGCTGACGGTGTTGAGCTCAAGCCCGAGCTGCTGGGAGATGGTGACCTGCAGCTCTTTGGATGGACGCTTGTTCTCCTTGAATATTGCGTGCAGGGTGCGCCGCTGGATGTCGGTGAAGACCAGTCGGGGCTTCTTGGAGATGCCGCCCCGCTCACCTTTGCCATGTTCCTGCTCTTTTCTCTTGCAGGCTGCAGGGGGCGCAAATCAGCCACAAGAAAAACACACGGCGTTACTCAAAGCATACAGACACACTGGCACACAAACATATGCACACCGGTGTGTGACATTGCCTTGTGGTAATAAATATTCTATGATGAAAAAACTTTATTTGGATCTTGGGGAAATTATTAAAACATGTGACTATGTAACTGCGTAAATGTCACAGACAGATTAGTCCTGTTGCCTGTGCTGTCCCTGGTACAGAAAGGGAAAGAGAGCCTTCCAGAGGGGTGGGCCTACACCACTCAGTGCAGGGAAGGAGTATACCTGATACTCACCGGGGACATTCCCATAACTGCATAATTTTGGGAGAACCCATGTGACACAGACAGAACACGCAAGCCACACTCGCAATGAGCAGGTGAGGTATTCAAACCCCTAATGCAGAGGCTGCAGTAACAGTATTACCCAATGAGCCACCGTGTCACCAAGGCAAACGCCAAATCCATCTAAATAACAACAATTGTTATGTTTATAATAATAATAATAATTATTATTATTATTATTTATTGTTGTTATTATTATTATTATTAACATTATTAAATTGTATATATATATTATTGTTATTATTATTATTATATATAAAATTTAGATTTTCTTATTGGAGTGTGCTGGTTATTTCGTTATGAACGATGCCGCCCACTCCTGCATCTGGCGGCGGTCAGTCTCCGCCAGTAGGGGGCAGACAAGACCTTCAAACCAGTCCATCGACAGTTTGGTAACCTTACATTACGTGATTGACCGAGACAGAATAATTCACGACAAAGTAGAATTACATCAACATACACATACCTTTTTCCATGCAAATTAAGAATTTTAGCCGAGTTTAATTTTAATAAAACAAAATCTCAATTACTCTTTATATAACTGACTCCTTATTCAGTACCACAGGACATTCAAACATGGAAATGTTAAACAATGCTTAGACGGAACACAAAAGTTTCCTTCTGAAATAACTGTTCATGAAAATATCGAGATAAAATAAATCCAATGATGAATAATTAAAATTAGAACAAAATGTTAATTCAATGTTAATTCATAGATGCACCTAACTGCATTTGCAATAACGTGGTGTTTAGTCCTATATTGTAAAATAAGTTTATTCTATAGAATGTTGTTAATTTTGGCAATGTGCTATACAGAGTATTTTCTCAATGTTTATTTTGCTAAACAATTCAAATATAAGAGCCGGACTACTTACAGGAGAATACGCGGATTGACAACGAAAAATGTGATTATTCCATTTCGAATGACGTGGCTTTTATTAGTTTTTACCCCCTTAAACCGTGTAATTACACTACAACTCGATTGCACCAGGTTTACAAGGCAACATCGCGCCCGCGGCAGAAGTGTCTGCTTCGCTTAAAAATTAACAAAAAGTAAATTATTATTTTTTTGTTTAATAGCTCTAAATCAAACATCTTACAAGGACAGTGCGACAGCAGAAAATCCAAAACTTTGCAGTTCGGGCATTTTCCCAGCTATGGTGTTAACATAACGAAGCAGGCAGTCGCCGCTTAATCTCTGGCACTCAAACAGTCATACGGCTTGTGTTTGGCGGCTAAAACATTATACATGTACAAAGCACATTATTACCGTCACATATTTCCTGGCCCTGTTAAAATCTAAATGACGAGCTGTCCGTGCATATTTTTGCACCACGTATTTAGCTTACTATTTCAACAATAACATTAATTATCCGATCGATGTTAAAAGCAAAAGAAACGCACAAGAAAAACAAAAATAATTAATAGCCTACAATAGATTGACTTTCATGTGAAATTCTGACTATCAATATTATTTAAATTCAATGTATATTATTTGTCAGTACTGAAGAAATAGCCCACTACACTAGATAGAAAACTGAGAGCATCAAAGTCTAACGCTGTTAAAATCTTATTTGCCAACATACTCCGGAAGAAAGAGGAACCGAAATTTGAATAATCGATATTACTTGGAAAAAATGCTTTTGTCTAATTCCAAAAAAGCCTTGTTTTACACACACACACACACACACACACACACACACACACACACACACACACACACACACATATATACACTCAATATACCTAGATAGTAATAAAATCAAAATGTTAATTATTCAAGTATATATACATGCATGGAGAAAATACACTGTATAGAGCATTGACATATCGACTACATATTTAATGATTTAAATAGCCAGCCCCCTGTTTTGATGGGAATATTATATTATATATAAATATTTCATTACTGAATGCCACTGACACCACATATAATATTAAAAATCCAATGATTGTAACAGTAAAACAGCGAAACGTAAAAACAGCAGGGATAAACAGGTTTGTCTAAGTTGCATCGTAGATAATTACATCTTATAATTTATTTATGTTTAGTCATATATATTTATAATCGTTAATCTAATTGCTACAATAAACCTAAATAATAATGTTACACTACATATGAATGACATATCCAGCATTTTATGTTTGTCATTGAATAACAATTCATAAGATTTTGTTTTCTGATCGTCTATGAAAACAGTGTTACAATCGCACCAAATTGACCCCGTTTAACGTCCAATAACAGAAAGCGGGATCTCCGACAACAAATTTTAATTCAAGTGGCTGTTTCCAGTATCGATCGATGTGAATAAATGGAGACTCCGGTCGAAAAAATAGCAGTAAAATCTTTTCATGATAGAACTATAGATGTACTTTAACATTTCCGCATCCCCCAGTGGGTCCACCCCTGGTCGCCCAGAAAAAAAAGGTTTAACGCAGATCTCTTAATTTCTCACATTGTCAGATCTATATTTCTTTTACAAGCATAATAATAATTATGATAATAATTTTAAATAAATTATTTCGAAGAGCTCGAAATTCAAAGTTTCTCTTTATTCGTGATTATCATAATTATCATGCGCATAAATGAATACAAATAATACCGAACATGCAAGCCAATACCCAAACACACGATATCAATTCATATTTATACACATACATACATATATGTATGTATATATATATATATATATGCATATACACACACGCACATACATACTTTATATGCATATCACTGGAATTAGGAGGAAATACTAATGCCTACAAAGTAATTTTAAAAATGTAATCACCATACATAACGCAAGATTCAGTAAATACTTCTAAGATCGCCTGTGCGCGTGGCGGCGCAGTTGTCAGCGCTATTGCCTCAGACCTTTGGGACCCCCATTCAGGGCTCCAAGTGTGTGAAGTTTGCATATTCTCCCCGTGTCGTCGTCAAGCTTTCTCCGGGTACTCTACCCCCCTCCCCACAGTCGAAAAACTTACTGGGGTTAATTGGAGTTACCAAATTGCCCATAGGTGCGCATGTGTGAGTGTGTCCTGCGATGGGTTAGCGGCTCCGGACCCCCCGCGACCCTGAGAATGGATGGACCTTTTGTGCGCTGGAAATGCAGGCAGCCTCCTGCCTATCAGGGAAATGGATGACCGCCCCTGGCTCGCGCTCGGATTGACTCGCTCATTCTCCAGGGACAAATTAATGAAGACCTATCAGTTAATTAACAAAACCTCACTCTGGGCCACGTCACTGGATACTAGCATGTACCCAAAATAGACTGAACTACACAAAAAGAGGAGATCGAGTGTTGGATAGACAAAGTACGGCACGCAACAATTTTAGCAACAATGGACCATCAAAATGATCATTCACACCCGCCGTTTTACGGTGTCGTTTCGACGAATCAGAAGAAATCGTGCAATCAAATGCTGCACTCGCATAAATTAAATAAATAACAAATGCAGCATGCTATAGATACATTACACTTACATTACCCGAAATCTATACAGACAGTACGGAAAAATTCTAACAATAATGCCAAAACAGATCGCCCCAAAGTAGCTCTTTTTGCGTAGTATCGTATCAGAACAATGACGCCTATGCAATCCCAAAGGGACTCATCCAGCGTAGATGTTAGTTAAACATTGTATTCACGTAATAATTTATTTTTAATACTGACAAGTTCGGGAAGGGTTTATGCATGAAATAATGAAAAGATCGGCAGAATCTTTAGTTACTGTAATCGGACTACAAATGTAGGAAAACGATTAAAATAAAGATTTTGAACTAAGCGATAGCGAGAACTAAGGCCACGAAAATGAGCACAAACACAGAGAAAGGATTTTAGAACGGGGGGTAATTACCTGGCGCGCGCTCACCTGCGAGCCGAAGCGCGGACATCCTCTGGAACTCGGGCTCCTGCAGCCATTTCCACATTCTCCGGAAAGTCTCGCGGCCGGACTTCAACTTGCTCCAGGGTTTGGGGTTCCGTAACAGGTCGGATAGGGTCCCCTGCGACCGGCACAGCACCCTCTGGGCAAAGATGGCCTGGGGGATGCTGTACCTCTTAAGCTCAGTAGTGATTCTCTGGGCTACTTCTTTGGTATTTACCTCTTCCATTTGCCCTGAATTGCCTCCGCTGTTAACTTGGGATCCAAGTACAGAAGGCGGGTTTTGCTCTCTCGTCGAACCCAATGTTTGACCGTGATTCTGAGCGCTTAGGTGAGCATGGGGGTGATGGTGAATTTGAACCATGCCCGCCGAGGAGGCGGTCATGTGCTGATCGCTATGCCTAGCTAACATTGCAGGATGGTGAGCCTCGAATCCGTTAGGTGTTAGCATTTTTTCCGTGGGCATGGTGGCCCCCGGGTGTGCATAAGGTGGCAGTCCCTGCTGGGAGTTGTGAATGCCACCCAAACCTGGTCCCGACATTGGAGAAAGGCTTTGTCCCATGCCGGTAACATCCTTGTGGTATGGACTGTAGATGTTATTCATTGACGCCAGAGCCCTGTCGTCTCTCATCAGGGTGAAGCTGCCGCTTACGTTACCGGGGATCCGCTGATGAGGGTGATGATGGTGATGAGGGTGGTGGTGATGGTGAGGAAACTTGTCCGAGACGGTCGAGATGGGAGGTAGCGGCTGCAGGGGGGTCAGCGTGGTGTAGGTGCTGCTCATGCTCAAGCCTGGGGGGGCCTCGCAAGCCATGGTCATGGCTGGGTGCAGGTGGTCCGAGGGTCGGTGGTGATGATAGTCCCCGGCGTCTAAGATTGACGCCATGCCCATGGAGCGAGGGTGGGATGACAAGTGGCTGCCGCGATGAGTTCTGTGATGAGGGCTGTTGCTACCCATCAGGTCTTCTGTGGCGGATAGCTGCTCATGGCTAACTCCGTGCAGATCGCCAATACTTTCCATCGACAACTGAACATTCATTATACGCGCAATCTTGTGGACAAATCATCTATCTGACGTATTGGAGAAAGGTTAGAAGAAGTCCTCTCATCAAACAAGCAGAATGTCGTTACTTGTAGTTACTTTTTTCTTTTTTTATTTTCGCGATTATTTTTCATATGTTTTCATTTAAGTTTTTTTTTTTTTTTTTTTTAGATATTATTTTTAATCCTCTTTGGTGTTAGTGTAAGGCCCCCGTCCGTCTACCAGAGCATCAGCGGCAGTGCTTGCAGTTTTTGGCCGTAGTCCTCGCCATCTCTATCCATGTCTGCTGTTTCGATTTCTTTGACCACATCTCAGCTGCTGCGGCTCCCACTAAGGAATCATGCGCGTTAGATGTATTGCGTCTCCTCCCACTACACGCGCGCGCGCGCGCGCACACACACACACACACACGCACCCGGGTGTGCGCGCGCACACACACACACACACACACACAGACACACACACACACACGCGCGCGTACATTCCGGCCTCTGCCTGACGTCAGCTATTGAGGAAGTTGCTTCAGTGGTGTTATGGTTCCTCGCAATGTTTGGCGCAAATTGTATTATTTGGCTAGGTTTTTAAAAAATATTTTAATTAATTTAAAATTGTATTGCAATGACTACTTTTTAAAATAAAGTGAGAAAAATACAGAATTAAAAAAAAATTAATTAAGAAAAAATGTACAATATATTATATTATAGCCTATATATCATTTCCGAATATTGGGATAGATGTATGTCTACATGTGTTTTTCTGGCATGGTTGTATTTTAAAATTTTCAATGTAATGAGATTTTAACTAAATCCAGTAGTCATGTTAACCTAATCAACAACGAGAAACGGAAATAAAAATTGGTCGAAACCAGCCTGAAATCTATTAGAAAAGAATCGTAAAATATATTCATAATTATTGTTCAGAGACTACGATGATATGATGTTCAATGAGTCTGATTAGTATTTGTAGCAGGCCTATTTGTAAATTAGCTGCTTTGCGTGTTCTTTAGATTGAACACAGTTCAGAATCACGGAAGAGAGGTTTGCTTTATTCACCACGAAAGTAAATCCATTTAAAAGCAGACATCTACTCCCTTGTGACACTTCTAGGCATCTGCGTAGAGGTACGCCGGGTGTACTGAAGTAAAAAAACTGAAATCCCGGGCAGATGTGCCTTTTGTTCAACCTTTAACAATGACGACCGAAGCAGCCCAAAGTGTGTTTCTTTGTCGCCAGTGAAGCCGTGAGAGATACGACATGATGACATCAGTGTGCTAAGCGCAGGTTTAACAGAGCAAAAGAACCTGTCCAAAACGAATTAATAGTGATGAAAATATGGATGTTAGGAATTAACTCCTGGCAATTAAATCATTACAGGAATTGTGTATAAAATGGACTTAAATCTGATCATTTGTCAGCAGAATGTATAACAGAATACTGATTGTTTAGTGCGCATGTGTCTATACAACATTATTTGAGTAAAACAAAATACTGTACTCAATCTGACTGCGCCGCTGAAACATAATAACTTAATAATTTGGGCAGTGTAAGTTATCCTTTCTTGGACAACAAAGGAACAATAAGAAAAAATTAAATAAGCTTAGACAAAATAATTTAATACAATATCGTGTAAATAACGTGTATTCCGGATGTACAATATGATATTGCAAATTAACAGGCTTAGTAAAAGCCGTTTCAAGAACATACAACAAAAAGAAATAGTTACTATATGTATAATTTCTTTATTATTTTTTTTTTGTACAAATGACACACAAGTTAATTATAAGTTTTTAAATAAATTTTAAATGGTCAAAGTGCAATTTATACATCAACACATACAAAATAAAAATAATCATTATTTATAGAAGAATTTTCTTTTTAGATTCATCACATTTTCTTCATTAATTTTTCTAACAAATAAACAGCCATAATGACAGCTTCTCGTTGTCAGTCTGAACAGGCAAATTTGGTGACGTTTGGTAACATTTGCCAAGGAGTTAAAGGGGGGCAGAAGGCGTCTCACGCGCCCCGAGCCCCGCCCTCCGCTTTCCGGGGCAGCTTGTAGCGGCGAATCTCCCACAATAGAGAACGTGTCAAAGGTGACGTCTTAAGACTCTAAAAAGCAAACAGCCTCCTGGAAAGCAGATAAACTTCTAAAACATTTTCTTCTGTGATTTTAATGGGTCACATAAAGCACAGAATAAACATTAGACCTGTCATGGTCAGGAGCAAAAATCCGTTAAATCCGTATTAAACTACACATTGACTTATATAAGAAGGGTTATTTTGGAATGTAAAGATGACGCATGTACACATTTTATTGTATTTTTTGTTTACATTAATATAGACCTATTGTTTGTTTAACCCAATAATTCTTTCGTACCGATTTTTATAAAGAAACTGAGAATGTGAATTTAATTACAATCATGGCACTGAAGTAAATATATATAATAAACAAATGCATTACGAATAAGTATAAGCAAATTTTAATCAAAACGCGTATTTAACAAAATAATTCCGCGCGTGGCAGCAACTGCATATGGTCACGTTCGCATGCTGATCGATATTTTTCATTCGCACTCCTGCCATTGTGAGTTGTAAAAAAAAGGCAAAAAGAGGGGGCGATTTCTTTTTATTGGGTTCCATTCAAGCGTTTCTGATTAGTGTTAGAACAGTTTATGCGGTGCATTTTGTGGTTGATGAGGAACGTTCCTCGGCTAGCAAAGACACAGGAGAAACTCGACGCGTGGCTGCTATTGTGCTCCCGCTGAATGTACACAGGGATCATCAAGAAGCACCGGCCACACGCATTAAGAGATTACAGATCCGAGGCCCGCGCGCTCTCTAGAACAGTTTGTCTTGAGTGAAATATAATTTAGTTAATACGACTATAAATTATGTACCAAGTTATTTATTTAGTTAGTCGTTTATTGTTTTGTGGTTTTAATTTGAACAAAAAATAATGAGTAAGCACAGTGGAAGATTTATATATCCTCAAGTGCAATGAAAATCAGACTATAATGTATTTTTTCTACAAGCCGCTACAAGAGTTTACAGCCCACTTTCCAGTGTACAAGATATTGATTTATAAAATTTTAATTATGTATGTCGAAGGATCATTCTTGTGGTTTCATGTATTTGAAGGCGATTGGCTGTACAAAGGAGCAGGTTTCAGTAGTTTGTGGGCTTTGAGGTCTGTTGTATTTTTCGGCAAGATTTTACGTTGCCACGGAAAGGGACATCTGTTGAATGCGTAATGTATATTATCACCTGTAAATTAAACCAATTACACAAAAGTGACCGATGAAACGGCACGTTTTAAGATAAAAATACTGACTAAACTATACTGATTATATGGCGAACTGAAATAGTGGGTGATACTTATAATGTTTATTAACTACTCAATAAGGGGAACAACAATAAAGATAATAGCTTATTAGGTGATACAAGTAAATATATAAGGATGGAAGCAAACAAGGTGTTCGGTTGATTCCTGTGATCTAAACTGGAATGAAGGTAAATTCACTGGTGCTTTTTATTTAAAAAACAGTAATAGGAGCCTCTGGTTTCATTCAGCTCCGGGCTTTGAATATAGCATTAAAACGAAATTACGGACAATTCTTACGCTACTTACAATGATTTTGCCTTGCCTTGTATGACAAACATTATATTTCCATGGTATTTACCCGCTTAGTAACTAGTTTTACCCATTACCTGCAAACTGCTTATCTGAAGCGGACTTAAGTTCAGATTTATTAAAAATAAAACATCTAAAATATACATTATACATTTTGACATGTTCTATAAGTATTGGTAGAGCCAACTCCGTTTCTTTTAAAATAACGAATAAAAGAGGATAGTAAACTTCGAAATTAATTTCAGATAGAAAACGTTAAACGTTCAAAACTGTTATTAACATAAACTACAACTGTACTATATAGACCCATGATAATAACCACGCAATATTATTTAAAAATTGACAAAATCGAGTTATTACTGAAATAGGCCTACTATTCTTCGTTGAATTTCACGGTGGCACGAGATAGTATACGTCATGATATTACAAATGTCCCCTTACCTCTGTTAAAATTTCACAGTTGTAAATTCGGATTAGATGTAATTATTCCTGTGAAACTACTACGAAACGTCAACATATTTTTGTTTACTTCTGCATGGAATATGTGATATTTACGCAAAAAAATGCTGTTTACTTCCTTACTGTAATTTCTTGCTTAAGAAAATATCCTTTGGCTACTGTAGCATTTGTTTTGCAGGCCTGTGTGTTTGATGCAATAAGGTGATCGTGTTTTATAGTTATGTTGTGGCTTCATCGGTGATAACTGATAAATTCCTTTGCACCGTGACACCAAATAGCTACTTAAATGTTACTCAAAGATTTAAAACTTACAAATAAAAATCGCTGCATTATAGCAAGCATTAAATACATACGGAAATAAAGCAAATAAATATAGGGCTAATATCAAATGAATGATGTATGTCTTTTCCGCCTTTTTATTTTAGTAGAAATATGTGATTTTAGTCCAAATAAGTTGAAATTTGAGGGGAAAAAATGTTTATACACTTTTTATGCAAATAACACATTGCCTGTACCCTGCTTGACAATAGCCGATATCTATGCAATTATCAATGCCTGCTTAACATAAGGTTAAAGACGTCTGGAACTGACACTGTCACGGTCCGCAGTCAATACATGTTTAACGCCGAAAACACCCTGCTTGCAGATACGGGGTCTACAGAGTATAGGAAAACTTGTTCCACAAAGAGAGAATAATTGTCCTTAATAACTATTCATAATAGATTCAAGTCGAAATGACTCAATAGTTAGTATAGACCTTTACTAATATTTCCATACTTAATGAGAAAAACATAACAGCAATATATAAGACATCGAAGCTTCTGCTGATTGGTTTGGTATTTCATTCTTCGGTTACATGGAGTCACCGTCTAATTTGACGGCTCTTTGCAAAAATGGTAACTGACTGATTTATAAAAGATAATTTGACAATGTTGCATTTAAAATCGACTAACGGTGTACATTAGAAAATTACATTT